GGGTCACGATGCGTCGGACAAGATTTCATGACTAACAACAACAACAAATGTACCCATTATGTGCTTATCATCAAATAAAGTTTACGTGGCTCAAAATCTATAAAACACTCTTTATATGTTCTGGAACTTGGAGCTGGTTTGTGCACCTCTACCCAACCACACGGTTGTAGGTTTGTCTCTGCAGAGTTTCTCCTGAGTGTACCCACCAGTAAAATGCTGAGGTTCCTGGCATAGAGATATCCCTGTGGATCTACGTGTGCCTGCTTGCAGGCTGCGAAACTGGGATTCCCTGACATCCATATAATATTATGCTCTGTGTGTGTGTGTGTGTGTCCCCTAAGCAATGTCAGGTACAAGTGGGGCAAGCAGCCACCCATCCCCAGTACTGGACTACTGTAGCTACTTAAAAGAAAGTTACTTTCTGTATGTTCAGGATGCTTTTGTTTGGAAGGTAGGAGAAAGGCAGCCTCCCAAGTCACTGCCATTCAACTTTCCTGATAGCCTCTGGCCTTAATCACTGAAATCAAAAACTCTTGTTTTCAGAGAAAGTACAATATATATTTTTATGCAAAGCTATTAATCCATCATTACTACTTTTGATTTTGTTGCAAAATAGACATTTCAGCTCCACAGAAGGAACTTTTCATTTTCTGCTTTTCTGCAATATGTTTTTTAAGTGGTCCTGTGCTACAAAATGTGTAGTGTAGTGGTCCTGTACAGCAAAATGATGTGATCACACAAACAGGTCAATTTTTACCACTTTCATAAACAAGAGCTTTTCTCTGGAATGTCTTTATTGTGTACCTACCATTCTCTACACATGCTCATTTGCTGAGGTTTTTTTTGACAATGTCATGACTCTCCAATTTCACTTCTGTTTTTAATTCTCATCCATTCTGATCTCCCCACCCTCCACAAAAGTTTCACAGAAGTGAAACTAAAAGATCACAATATCATCTTAAGAACCTAGAAACAATACTGACTAAGGAATTATTAAAACTCAATAAATGCCTTAGGTAGAAAAGCTGTAGGTTTAGGATGTGGGACGAAGTTTAACTCCTCCCCAAATGCACTTTACTCATTCTTTGGTTTTCCCAGCTGCTTCTTGTATGTTTCCGTGGCTGCTACTCAAGCTGTCTTTACCCATCATTAAAATATACACTCGTTTGTTCAGCCAGAGGGTGGGAAAAACCAACAAACAAAAGCATTGCACCCTATACGATTGGAAAAATCCCATAACCACACAATAAAAGTGCTGCCCAAATTGTTTTGCGAGTTTCAGATATTTCTTGGGTGGAACAGTTGGCTGTAATCCATACTGGGTCCCAGGGAAATTCGGTTGAAGCAATGGGCTTGTTGTTTTTGCATTATTATTAAGAATAATGCTGAAATGCAAACCTACCTGTATCGATTCTTTATGACTGCAAACTTTATGGCAAGAGGCACTTTGCATGTATTAAAATCACTCCCTTTCTTGCCTTTCCTTTGATATTTCCAGAACCATAGCTGCATGCTTTCACACAACTTCCTTTCCTGTAGATGCATGTAGAATTTTGTTGTGGGAGTCAAAACTGCTGAGGTTTGACAACTTCATGGATAACGTTCCTCCAGGCCTTCCTGTCCTCCACCATCCCTCGAAGTCCACCCAAGCCCACACCCACTGCCCCAGTGACTCCATCCAGACACCTCATTCTCTGCCGTCCCCTTCTCCTTTGCTGTCATTCCCAGCATCAGGGTCTTCTCCAGTGAGTTGTTCCTTCTTGTTAGGTGGCCCAAGTATTTGAGTTTCATCTTCAGTATCTGGCCTTCTAAAGAGCAGTTGATTTCCTTTAAGAATGACTGGTTTGATCTCTTTGCAGTAGGAGAACTTAGCTCAAATTGAACCATTTATTTTTATTTATTTATTAAAACATTTTTATGCCGCCCCATTCGCCGAAGCCTCGGGGCGGCTTACAACAAAAAATTAAAATAACATTTTAAAATATATACAATAAAATACAAATATATAATATAAAACATACACTATAAAACAAGCCGCCCTGGCCAAATAAAATTCAATAATATTAACATTTAAAATACTGCTTAAATAAAAAGGTCTTCGCCTGGCGCTGAAAAACAAATAACAACGGCGCCAGGCGGACCTCTCTGGGGAGCGCATTCCATAACTTAGGCGCCACCGCTGAGAAAGCCCTCCTCCGAGTAACCACCTTCCTAACTTCTTCCATGGAGGACTCCCGGAGAAGGGCCTCTCCCGCCGATCTCAGGGGGCGGCTGGGCATATAAGGATGTAAGCGCTCCTTCAGGTAACCAGGACCCAAGCCGTTTAGGGCTTTATAGGTCATTACCAACACCTTGAATTGGGCCCGGACTTCAATGGGAAGCCAGTGAAGCTGACGGAGAACTGGAGTCATGTGAACATAACGTCCAGTCCCCGTCAGCAGCCTGGCAGCTCTATTTTGGACCAACTGAAGTATCCGGACCGTCTTCAAGGGTAGCCCCACGTAGAGCGCGTTACAGAAGTCCAGACGGGAAGTCACCAACGCATGTGTCACTGTCGCAAGGCAGTCATTCTCCAGATAGGGGCGCAGCTGATGAATTAGCCGAAGCTGGAGGAAAGCGCTCCTCGCCACTGCTGTTACCTGAGCTTCCAGTGAAAGCTCTGGGTCGAGGAGCACTCCCAAGCTGCGGACCTTGTCCCTAAGAGGGAGTGCAACCCCGTTCAGGACAAGGTTCAAATCACCCTCTCCGAAGCCCGATCCGCCAACCAACAGGACCTCCGTCTTGTCTGGATTGAGCTTCAGTTTATTGGCCCTCATCCAGCCCATTACCTCGGCCAGGCACCGGTTCAGCACAGCCACTGCCTACCCTGGATTGGTGGAAAACGAGAGGTAGAGCTGGGTATCATCAGCGTACTAATGGTTCCGCAGCCCACACCTCCTGATGACCTCTCCCAGCGGTTTCATGTAGATGTTGAACAGCAAAGGGGACAAAATGGACCCCTGCGGTACTCCATGGCATAGCTGCCATGGCGAAGGACCTCTTCACCCATTGCAAATTTCCTTCATCAAAGAAATTTCACATGCCGCAAGTGCAACCACCCTCAGCTCAGCCATGGTGTCCGGAGTCTTCAGGGAGGGGAAAATGGAGAGAAGGGAGGGGACTGCAACCCCTGAACATCTTTTTTCCAGTAAAAGTGGTGTTGTGCTTCCACAGCAATGCATTTGGGAAGCTCCCCACCCAGGTGAAAGCGTTTTAAGTGCTTTGTTGCATAATGCAGGAGAGGAAAAAACAGTGTATAAAGAACACCATGTTAGATGCAGCAAAACAGTGCTGGAATAACCTCCTGGGTAAAGAAACCCTTGGATCATATGTGCCTGTTCATCACTCCGTGACTGGATTTGCACTATAAATGGGCTCACATATAGTGGTGCAGGGAGGCAATTTTTCATCCTGTACTTCTGCACCTATTATTACATTGCATGTATATCTTGCCTATTTTCCTCTTGAGAGGCTCCCAAGGTGGCCTACAAGGCGCCATATGATTCTCACAACAACCCTGCGGGGTAGGTAGGGCTAAGAGTCTGTGACTGACCCAAAGGCACCCCCAATGAGCTTCATGGCTGAATGGGGACTAGAACCCAGATCTCTGGGGTCCCCAATCCAACACCACCAACACTGCACTGGCTCTCCTTACAACTCTCTTGTATGGGGGACTCCTCTTTAGGGAATCGCATCCATTACTACAGTTGTGACACACAAACAAATCTTCCATCATCTTCCACTGATGTCTTGTACTTTACAACTACTTCTACATTCCTGATAAGTAAAAGGAGGCAAATAAAGAAATTTGACAAGTGCATGTGTCATTTGGCATTTTGAACTCACAGAAACCATGTGTCTGGGAATAAAATGAACTTTGCCTCTGCTGCCTCTTCTGCTAAAAACATTTACTTGGGAGTGAGCACCACGTGGGTGTAGAAAGCGGGAGTATGTTTTAAAATAATAATACAAACATCTGTACACACCTAACTAGACACCCCGATTACGATTTTTTAAAAATAAAGCAGATGCATTGTATTTATTGTTTTCAATATCAATACCTGAAGGAACACCTGCGGCCATATTTGCCCTCCCTCCCCTTCAGATCGGCAGCAGGGGTTCTCCTCCAGGAGCCTTTTCAGTAAGAGATATCAGGAAGCAAAGTACCCGGAGGAGGCTGTCTCTGCGGTGGCACCCCATCTGTGGAATGCGCTCCCCAGAGAGGTCTGCCTGGCACCGTTGTTATTTGTTTTTTGGCGCCAGGCCAAGACCTTTTTATTCAAACAGTATTTTAATAATCTGTAATATTTATAGTTTTAATTGTGCAGCCAGTGTGTTTCCAAGTTTTAATTGTAATTGTAATTGTATTATTTGTTGATGTGAGCCGTCCAGAGGCTATGGAGCAATGGGGACGGCATATAAAAACTTTAAATAAATAAATAATATCACATTTATAACTTGGCTTTTTCCTTGTGCCAGGAACCCAAGGCAGTTCATACGATTCTTTGATGAAAGGACTATCCAACACTCATATAAAATCAAGGGGTGCAATTGCACATGTGAATCAGCCCAGACTGAAATATGTACACATAGAGACTGAGTTAGTCAGAAGGGGCCTCCCTGGCCATCTAGTCTGACCCCCGGTTCCACTCATGACATGCTTACCATGTGCATGCCCGGTCTACCCTTAAATACCCCACCAATGGGTTTCAACCACTTCCCGTATGGGCAAGTTGCCTGTTGAGTGCGGTGCGTGCGTGGGAGTGCGGTGAAGTCGAGACAGAGGCGAGGAGGGGAATTCTTCTGCTTTCGGCCTGGGTAAAAACACTCCACATTCCCACAGGGTACGTGCAACGAGAAGCGGCAGGAAGAAAGATTTGGAATTCGCAGACTTTCTCTCTGCTTTCCCGGAACTCCAGCTCATCCGTCTAGAAAACACGTATGAAGCGTTCTCACGACAGTAGCGCCCCCAAAACGAGCAAAAGCGGGCGCAGGCAGCAGGGAGCTCGAGCGCGCGGGGAGAAGCGGCGCTGGCCGCCTCGTCTCTCTGCCCCTTCGGCCGCTCGCCTCCGCAGGATCGCTCCTTCCCGGCCCCTCCTGCGCCCTCGGGTTCCGGGGAACACCCTCTCTCGGAGCAAAGCGGAGAGGTTCGAGGCGCCGTGGGAGTGAAGCGTCGGGTTTCTTGACGTGCGCCCCCGCCAGCAAAATGGGAAGTAACTGGCCAGGGCGGGGGCAAGAAACCGCCGGTGACAACGTGAGTATGTTAGCCTCTACTTCAGTCGGCCAGGCCTCCTCGCCATCGTTTCCGCTCCCCCACTTCCAGGGTAACTCAATGGGAAGTTCGCTCCCCTCTCCCCTCGCTTTAACGCAGTTCCTGCGGCTTTAACAGCGCGCCGCGGGTAGCGTAGCGAGGCCGGGGCTCGCCAGGACGCGGCTCCGGGGCTCCGTTCGCCGATGGCGCCTGCCGGATTTTTTTCCCGCAAGGATTGGCATCCCGGCGCAACACAGCCGTGCGTTTTCCGTTGGGGCCGCTAGCTTTGCGCCCCATGAAGTTCAGGGCGCAATGCGCTGGCCGCGAAAGGCTGCAGGGGGAGCCGCAGAAAAAGTTGGAGCCCCGGCCCTGACCTCGGACTAGCGCTGCGAGCCGAGCTGGGGCTCCCACTCGGGAGCGCGCTCGTTCTTTCCGGGACGGCTGCAGGCCGTGGGTGCTGGGGGCAGGGAAGGGGGAGCGGAGGAACGAGGCCCCTCGCCTTACAAGAAGTCATGGCGGTGCCTGCAGCTCCTCTCCTCACCAGCCAGGGTGGATCACTCAGCCAGCATTAGCCGGCTAAGTGTTTTGTAGGAGGGGGAAACTCGGGGGCCATCCTTGCTTCTGTGTTCTTCCGGGCCCCCATCGAAGCTTATGAGCATCCCAGTTAAATTGCAGCTCTCAGCTCTGAGCCAGCCTTTCCATTATACAAATGGAGCCCAGTAAGGGCATCCCAAGAGCCCTGTTGAAGCACAGCAAGCGTCCAGCTAGCCCACCTCCCCATGGGAAGCCCACAAGTGGAACTGGAGTGCAAAAGCTGCACCCTGCCACCCATGTTCCCCAGCCTCCCTAGAGCCCCCCCCCCCCCCCCCCACATACTGGCCCTGATAACTGGAGATGGCATATAGTCTTCAGGAGCAGTAACACCTCCTAGTTTTATCCATGAATTTGTCCAGTCCTCCTTTACAGCCCGGCAAACTGGTGGTTATCAGTACATTCTGTGGAAGGGAGTTCCATGGTTCAGTTATGTGCTGTTTGGAAAAGACCTGCCTTTTATCTGTCTGAATCTCCCACCAGCTAGCTTCATGGGATGACCCTTTGGGGTTGTAGCTTTATGAGGGAGGGAGGACTAAGCCTCCCTCTGCACTTTTTCTTCACCATGTATAATTTACTACTCCTCTAGCCTGTTCGTTTACTAGCTTTTGCTATCTTTTTGTTCTTATTTTAAAACAAATAGGTCTATCTATTATTGTTGTTGTTATTACTGTTCTGATCAGGGATCCACCAAGCTTAGCCTGATGGAAAAGAAAACCTACCATTAGAATTAATGCTTCCTGAGCCCAGGAATGTGTTGTGAGTGCCAGATGCCCTTAACAGGGTTGCAGAAGACTGACTCACTTGAGAATCACTTCCAGTCAGCATGTAGCAGCCATGATGGGGGTTGTAGTCCAGCCTATCTGGAGGAGACTCCTTGGGGGAAGGCTAGGACAGAGAGACAATCCGAAGCTGGGTCGTACCACTGCTTCCTGTATTACCTTCCTGGGACAGGGAGAACCTCCCATTTTCGTTCCCATTGCCTGGAACCTTTCCTGTCATTTACTCATTCGCTGGCTCTTCTTTACTACCACCAGGTCACTTATTTTCACAATGCGAACAACAGCAATCAGCAAAAATGATTTGTTCTGACCAGGCATGCGAGAATAAAGGAAAACAGGAAATAAAAAGCAGCCTTCAGCAGGGGAAAGAAAATCAAGTGAGGAGGAGCACTTCAGAGTGAGGACAACCAAGTAGCGTGGCTCTCTGCTTACTTTGCTCTTACAAACTGTGGCTGAGGTTCACTGACCTGGTTCTACTGCTGATTTTAACAGTTTTCCCGCTCAGGAAACAGGTGGGATACAAGCTTCTAAAACAACATAAACTGGCCTTCCGCATGTGAGAGTTCTCCAGACCTGTCATATCACAACTCTCATGCTGTCTGGGAATGGTGAGAATGGTATTCCAACGGATCTGGAAGGTGCCAAGCTGGGGGAGACTTTAACTAAATTAGAAGGGTTCTTGGCTTGCTTTGAGCAATGCTTTACTTGGTGGGGTGGCTCTGATGTTGTTCGGAATTGTTGCTGGTGTCATGGAGTAGCTTCTGCTTTTCCTTCATGCTGTTTGTTTGCTTCTGTTTTAACCCTGTGGCAGGAGTGGGAAGGAGTTCAGCATCATGCCTGTCTTTTTCCCTTAGTGGTGCAAATCAGACCTTTGGAGAAGTGAATTTAGATTCCAAAAGATAGGGGTTTTATCCTTTCATTTCCCTCCTCCATTCAGTAGCTGAAGATAGTAAGCTAATTTATTTTATTTTTGCATGTGATAAAAATGATGGAAGTAACTTCACCCCATTTATTCTTGCATGTTTTAAAGTCACAGTGGCAGGGCCAATTGAAATGACTGAGAATGAACTGTGTGGGCCAAAGTTCTAGAACAGAGCATTTCCTTTGCATCTATAGATCCCGTACTAGGTTGGATCCTCAGGTTTCTGCTTCAAGGAGTGGGCAGTTTGTGGCCCTCCAGAAGTTTTGGCCTGCAACTCCCATCAGCCTTATCCAGCTTAGCCAGTGGTGAAAGATCCCAGGACAGACTTGTAGGCCAAAACATCTGGATTTCACTAAATCATGTGAAGCAGTCATACTGGCATGGGGAAAGACTGCTCCCTTTGTCTCTGGAGAGCCAATACCAGAGTGCACAGCCTAGGCTAGATCAGCAAATACACTAGTGGGTTCAGACAATACTTTAACCCAGGGGTGCCTAATGCGACACCCTGGTCTTAAACTCACCGAAAGGGACCTGTCTGTGCCTGACTAAAAATGGAGCACAGTGGCAGTCCTCAGACACTGCCTCCCGCTCTTTCTCCTAGGGAGCACTGGGCTGGAGCACGGGCATCGAGCAGCAAGAGAGCAGGAATAGAAGCGGCCGATAGGGGCGCCTTGGGCCACTGTCCTTCGCTTCCCCACCCTGTGTTCCTGCCTATGGAGGCAAAGCAGGATTTCTAGCGAGCAGGAGTGCAGGGCAGGGAACCCAGAAGCAGGAATGAGAAGGCAGGGCTGCGTCACACGGGGCTCTGAAGCCCAGAGCGAGGGAGACTATCCCCCTTCCCTGCCGCTCAGCTGCACTGTGCTACAGCTCAGCAATATGGAGGAAGGGCAGGTGCTGACAGGTAGAATTGTCCGCTTCCCAGCCGGACTCTCGAGTAGGAGTCAGGCTGGGAGGAGGCCCATTCTGTGGGAGGGAGCATGTTCAGCTGGGTCTCCCCAGGGAAGAGTCCCGTAATGTGCGGCCATGGCCTGGATACCCCAGGTTCATGTCTTCAGCTGTCATGCATCTGTGGGGAACACACCAGGTGGGGTGGAAGGGTGAACCAGCCTTTGCCAGGTGCCCTTTTCAAAGGTTGGGGAAGGCGATGTGGAACAGGCACCAGTGGCACCACCTTAGAAAGCGTGCAGCATGGAAGAAGGGAGGAACTGCTTCTTCTCCCACCCAACAGCTGGCGATGATTTTGGCCAGAGTGATGGAAAGGAGGCACTTCCTCCCGTCTCCCTTTGGCTACCCTGCACATCACCTCCTTCCCAAGGAGGAGCTGCACAAGGCCAGTGATGGGAAGTTATTGAAATGAGAGATGCTCAGCAGGGGGATTCCTAGCCAAATGGAGATTTGAGCCCAGGTTGCCCTCATTCTTGTTTTACACTTGGCTTCAGCTGGCTTGTGTCTGTCCCTCACTTGGAGGACCTGATGATGATCACTGGCTCTACCAGGTAACAAAAAGATAGGAGATGCCTCCCACCCTATCCCCCCACCCCCGATAGCAGGGAAAGTGGGAACAGTAAGAAGAGCACCTCATTCCTGCCTGCTGGTGCACTGGCAATAGTGGTGGGCAGGATCCAGCCACCTGACCTTGCTACCTTGAAAGAAACCAAGAATTAGTGCCTGGTTCTTCTGGCACTTGTCCAGACAAGGCCTTGGGAGGTGGCATGCTGTGGGCCTAGAAGGCTTCCCACCTGTTCCTTACAATGCCAACAGGTGGGACTCAGAGGGAACCAATGGCAGCTGCATCAAATGCTACTTGGGCAGCTGCCATCAGCTAGAACCCCCTTTTAGCTGTTCTGGCCAAGGAAGTCTTCTAATTCTTGGCTTGATTGTGGCTTTGTGTGTCACCAGGATTCAGATGACACGCTAAGCCATGGAAGGTTTTCTAAAATGGGGACTGAGAGTGGCCTATAAGACATCCCAGAGTGGTTTATATGCCACCGCAAAGGAAGTGCGTGGGGGGTGTTCCCATGACATGCTAAGCTACTCCTGCTGGTGGCTGCCAGCAAAACCATCATTGAGGACAGTGCTGTTCCCCAACATTGTTCCCCAAAAACTTTGTTGTGGAAAGTGCTGCTTAACCCCTTCCGTTCTGAGTGTTCCCATATATCCTCAGGGAGGGCTGCTTTGATTTGGAAACTGGTTGTGGGGAAAGGGTTAAGCATCTCTTCTGCCCCTCCTCTGATCCTATCTACAACTTTCTGCAACTGTTCTTAATTCGGTTTTTTAAGAAGAAAGATCTGAGACTGCTTCTTGCATCTCCCTTATAACATTTAGTTTGTTTGTTTATATTCTTGAATAGCTGGCACAACTGTTCCATATGTGCTGTAAACCCTTACAGAGGTGTAAATCCGGGAGCTGTTTTCTGACTTATTCCTTACGCAAAATTCCAAATGGAGAAATGTTGGCTTTTGATTTGTGAAAATGTAAGATCCTTGATGCAAGAAGCTTGTAGAACTCTGTAGGTTTGCGAGACTTGCTGAAGGGTGGCTTATCGCAGTTCTGGCAGCAAGCCGTGTTTCTAGGACACAGGTGTGTGCCAGCTGTCAACAACGCCCATCCTTCATAGCATGCGTGAAGTGTCCTGGCTTGTTCTCCTGGGTGTGGCTTCCATCGGATCAGCAACTCAGTCTTTCATTTGTTCATGTTTAAACTTGGTTGCCACAATTCAGACACAATTCTGGATCCTGGTAAGGCAGATGCTGAGAGTGAAAGAAGCTGCTTGGGGAAGGCAGAGCAACGGGATGTGGAAAAAACCACACGTGCATGTCTGTATGTTGCAGGGTCTGTCTGGGGACTTGGAGGGGATCATTCAGTGTGAAGGTGCTCTGAATGGGCATAAGGGCTGTGTTAAGTTGAACTCTTTCAGCTGGGCCAGCCAGATGTGCTGAGCCGTTCAACCCTTGGCTGTGTGCCATTAGATGACGTGCAAATTCACTATAAGCTGTAGTTATGCAACTTAACTCTACTTCTGGCCCCGCAGTCTTTTCTTTTTTTTAAATTATGCCTGGATGTTATTGTGACAGCAGCAGATAAAAGGTTGCACGGTGGCATAATAAGCAAGGAAATTGCTTAACAGTTAGAGAGAAGCATCCACCTCAAAGGTCAGAAATTGGTTTGCACACCACTACAAGGCAATAAAGAAAAACCAAGAGTGTTCTTTGTCAGGGTGGCTTCACTGCTCAGGGCAGTGTACAGAGGCCTTTCCTCTTTTCCTTGATCTCCACGGTGACTCCATGAGGTTGGTTAAATTGAGAGGTTGGTTAAATTGAGAGGGTCTCAGCCAAGTGGGGATGCAGACCCAGGGCTCTCTCATTCTTGTTTTACACTCCACATGTTACCGCAGAGGTAGGCATCTTCAGGAGATGGTGGGTGGGTAGAGAGATAGAATGGAGTTAAGAAAGAACGTTCCTTGTTTTTTCTTCATTAAAGTACTACTCTGTGTTCAGTTCATTTCCCACCCCAGTCCCCAGGGTTTCCCCTTCATGGGCCTCACCCCTACTGTGATGCTGCCAAATTGTTAAAAGTGCAAATGAATTCCAAATTAGCCACAGGGACCAGAAGTTTGGTCCCCCTGACCTGGGAGTGCGGGTGGCTTGGACGGTGGCAACAAGGAGAAGAACCTTTCCGGTAGTGGCCCCCCAGTTACGGAACAAGCTCCCAACTGAGGCCCTCCTGGCACCAACTTTATCTTTTTCATGCCAGCTGAAGACCCTCCTCTATTTTCAGGGCAATGAATTAGTTACTGGGTGCTGCTGGTTGTTAACACGGTCTTTTTAATGTATAATTTTGTTTTGCTGTTTTTATTTAGTTTTAAATTTTGTATTGCCAACTTTTATGATGTTTTAATGTCTTTTAACTGGTTTATTTTATATTGCATTTAAATGTGCTGCTGTGACCCTCCCAGCAAGCTTTGGCTGTTGGGCAGTATAGAAATTAAATAAATAGGGACCCACTTCTGCACTAGATGGTAACACCTTTATTTCCTATGAGCAGGACTGGACTGAACATTAAATGCTCATTCTGAATCATATGGAAGGCAAGGATGCTATAGTGAGACAAGCTGTAATGTGATTAGTTACGGCAGTTGGCCCAGGGATATTGCGAGTTGAGGCCTGAACCTGCAGACCTGTCTTATATTGGTTCGGAGAAGGAATGTTGCTGTTTCCCTGCCATTTTCCGTACTTCTGTTGGACACTCCACTGTCGCTCTGATTGTGCTATGCGGACACCCAGTGCAGTCTAGAAGCTGCAAAGCAGGGGGAAGTTAGCTGTGAAGTTCACTGCTCAGCCATCTCTTCTTGAGAAAGCTGGAGCTTCTTAACGAAATGGCAGATCAGTAAGAGCTGGCTGGCTCCTCTTTCCCAGTGCTAACAGTGCAGTTCAGACGTAATGAACCTGGCCTTATTAATGAATTCCTGCTCACCACCAACAGGCAAACAGGCTTTCGCCTGGCTCTTCCTGCCAGCGGAAGTGGCTAAGCAAACCGGCAAGCTGATGCTTGGTGGGTTGTCTGAACTGAGGCTCCGGGCTTGTTGCTCCCCTACCCAGCCAAGCACTGAACCCAGAGTTGGTTCCTGGCTTGTGATTTCTGCCTTGTTGGTTTCCTGCTGGAAGGAGGAGCCAAGCAGGGCCAACTGAGCCTGGTGCACTCAAGCATGCCATGTAGTTCTGCAGAACCGTGGCTTACCCATATGCAAAGCAGCCCTCTGCATGGCTGCTGGAAGGCACTGGTGCACCCGCTGTTACTCAGGGCCCATGGCCTAAAGCTTTTACTGCTAGTAACTAAGCCACAGGAGAGGTATTTCAGCCTTTTAGAAAGGTACGATAATGCGCAAGAGTTGGGAAACCACATGATTCGTATTTGTGCAAAAGTGGGCGGGTCCAGGGGAAGGGGATGTGGCCATTTGCACAATCATGGACTGCTGGAGTGAAGCAGGAGGATGGCTATAGCCCCTGGGACTGTGGATCACCGCCTGAGCTAAATAGCATCCACCGATTGCCCCAATCTGCTTTCTTTTAGGTCTACATTAAAGCATTGTTTTGAAAATAAGTTCTGGAATTGCTGAAGGTATTGGACGGCAGTGTATTCCGATTCAGGGTTCAATAGATAGAATAGATTATTCTATCTATCTAGATTATAGATAGATTATTATGTTCTTTCTTGTTTCTTTCAGGGAAACAATGGACCATTTGGTATTTCAGGTGGCAGTTCTCTATTCAGTGTTCTGTTTTAGCCTGTCGGAACGTGAAGGTAAACTTTTAAAGGCATGCATTCAAAAGCATGTTGTTGTTGTTGTTGTTTGTTGTTGTCTAAGCCATCGAGTTGCCTCTGTCTTATGGTGACCCCATGAATGAAAGCCCTCCGAAAAGTCCTGTCCAGTAAGCCCTGCTCAGCTCTCTTAAGTTCAATGCTGTGCTTTCCTTTATGGATTCAGTTCATCTCATATTTGGTTTTCCTTTCTTCTTCTGCCTCTGACTTTCCCCAGCATGATTGCCTCCTCCAGCAGTCTTGCCTTCTCATGATGTGTCCAAAGTATGAAGGACTCAGTTTTGTCATTTTTGCTTCTAGGAAAAGTGCATATATATCAATTTTCTCCAATGGTGGGAGTTGGACTACAATTCCCACCATTTCAAGCCATCACCTCTGTTCTTGAAAGAAGAATCATGTGCTTAAAGGCAAGCACATCATGTAACTAACTAACTAACTAACTAACATCATATGTAGTTTGGCTATTGGAATTCATTGCTTTTGTTGATTTCAAATAACATTTCAAACAACACTTCACAAGCCAGTGTTAGAGATAAAAACAATACTGAACTATGAAAAACAAATTGACTAGAAAATGAATGAATGAAAATGCTACAAAAACTGAAAGGTAAATATTGCAAGGTCCTATATGATGCCAACAGCATTGGAACTATTTCTGTGTGAGTACTAAATTGCTTTACAGATTCTGAAGGATTAGAATCTGGTTGTTTTGCCTCTTGAACTCTCCTTTCTTTTCTTCCTAAGGCAACCATGGCCTTCAACCTGCAAACCTTACTTTTAATGTTTCATTGAACCTCCATCTTCAGCAGATATTAGTGGAATGGGAGGTTCCGGATGATTCTGAGTCCCATCTCTCCGGAACAGAAATGGTTTTTAACATTGAAGTCTATAGAACTGGAGAAAACAGGACTGTCATCTCTGTAAGTATCTTTCTGACAAACGGGTTCCTTGAGGGTGCAGTGTTGTGGAGATGAGCCGAAACCCCTGAACTTGGATGCTTACGTTCATTCAGGGCAGAGTGGAAGAAACAGCTTCAGCTGCTTGTCCCCCGCTCTGCCTTTTTGCTAGTTGGCCATTTTTGGCTGTCCAGCAGGGGCATTTCAGAGCAGAGAGCACCCACAGGGGTGATTATATCCTGGCTTCTTCCATCTCCTTCCTATTCTGCCCCTGAAATTCCCCCTTTTACCCTTCCCCAAACTCAGAGAACAGCTGCTGCTGTTCATTCTATGCTGGCTGCAGGAGGTGGGGATGCAGGAAGCCAGAATTCCATTTCACATCTTTGGGGTTGGACTGCTACCTCTGACTTTGGAGCTGGGAAGCCAAACTGTCTTGTGGTCCAGACAATGTCTTTCCACCTGGACGCTATGATCAAGTTCCAGGACCTTTCTCAGTTTGCCACCTCTGAGGGAGGCTCAGATGGTGGCAACGAGAAGGGTCTTTTCAGTGAAGGCCCCCTCAGTTATGGAATGAACTCCCCACTGAAGCAACTGTAGTATCTTTTAGGTATCAGGTAAGGCCCATCCTACTGCAGGGCATTTAAATATTTACTGGGGCCTGCTAGTGCTTAGACAGGGTTTAATAGGTATAAATGTGTTTTTCTGTTTTCATTTGGTTTTGAATTTTGTATTCCTAACTTTTATGATGTTATAACATGTTTTAATAGCATATATTATATTATTTTTAAATATTTTGTTGTGATCCACCCAGAGAGCTTAGGCTGTTGGGCAGTATAATTAATTAATTATGATGGTTTCCTTAATTTATATTACTTCCAGAGTCATGTTAAAGCAGAATTATTGTTTTTATGCATATGCACACAATTTTATACTTGTGAGTCAAGATACATGCTTTGACTGGCTCAGTTCAGGCAGTCTTCCAAAGCATGGTTTGCACTTACACAGGCCATGACTCAGGCTCCCAAATGTTCCTACAGGCATGCTCTGGTTCAGGGCTTGTTCTGGTTCATGCTTTTACTTTCCGCACCATTAGCATTCTGCTTCCCTCTTCTTTCATGTGCAAGAAGAGGAGAGCAAAAACTACCCCTCTCAGTTTTGAAGCAAGCCACAGTTCCTGGTGCCTAAAAGAGAAGGTCCCAGGTATGCCTTTGGGAGAGAGAATTCCATAAACAAGCACCCATGGAAAGGCTTTTGTTACCTGCCTTATTTCATATGGCAAAAGCACCTGGAAAAGAGTGTTGTTTGATTATCTAACCACATGAGTGCAAATGTTTCTTCCAGCACTTAGAACTGAAGCACCAGGGCTTTTGTTTAAAAAAAAAATGTGTTTCTTGTGAACCAGAAATTGAGGAAGGGAATGAGGGCAGGGGAGGAAGGTGGCAATGTGACTTTCACTGAACTGGAGCTCTTGTTGGTGAACTGATGTAAAATGTATATTTCAATATTGACGGTCTTTAGGAATGAGGAGTGCAAGGCGCATGTGAAATCCCTTCTGTTTGTCATCAGTATCACATTTGAAGTTACTTTGAGTATCTCTACTATATTTTAGTTTCTGCTGTTTGGACAGTAACAGGGAAATCCTAAGAATGCATGATTGTTACCATCTCCTTGTTTTCTGCTGCTTTTCCTTTTTTTGTATTTTTAGGATAATTATACAACAGTGCTCAATAAATCACATCAGCCTCTAAAATGGAGCTGGCATTCTGATGTGGCCTTGGAGTGTGTGGCTCACAGAGTAAGAATCAGGAGCATGATGACTCCTGCTGAGGTCTGGAGTGAGTGGAGTCCATGGAAAACGGTGGACGGTAAGCAGATGTTGTGCTCACAGAGCATGAAATGCAACTTCATGCTTGTTGGTGGAATTGTGTCACTGAAATTAAGCCACATCTTTCCCTGTTTGCACCGGCCTCCCTTTCCCTTTGGGCGCTCCCATCTTGTATGACAGATTCTTAGTCCTCGAGACAGAGATATAACCCATTGTGAACTGAAAAGCCTTGTGGCATAATAGAAGCAGAGATGAAGCAGGCCAGTGGCACAGGATCGTGATGGCAATGTTGCCTTATACCAGATGGTGTTGAACTACAGCTTCTGTCACCCCATACTGGCTGATCCTGATAGAAGTTGGGAATATAACAACATCTGGATGGCCACATGTTCTCCACCTTGGCCTTATACCTGGTTTGAGCGATGTTTACAGCCTCAAGGATTCTCTGAACATGGTCTCACTGCTTGTCTTGTGCCCAGTTCCCATTCCCATTTTCAGTCACTGTTTACTTTGCATAAATGGGAAATTAGCGCAAATTGAGCAAGGAGTGAATGGGAGACTTGTGCAAGTCTCCCAAAGTTTTCAGAAGTTTCTTGCATAGAGAAAATGAAGGGACTCCTGTGAGTACTGACTTGTGAGATTTCCTTCATATAAGAGGGGAATCCTCGGGTGATTCACCCTTCCAAAGGAATTTGTGTAAACTGGGAAACTTGCTCCGTTGGAACAGGAAATCAGGACTAAGACAAACATGAGCACATGTTCAACAATTTGCAAAAACTTTCATTGGCCACATGTTCAAGTATGGGCCCTTGGAAGGGGCATGCTTGCAAGTTTTGCAGGCAAAAACAAAACGTTCACATATCTATATCGCTAGAGAAACCATTAGTTTAAACAATTGCTTTATCCTTTGTTTAAACTGTTAGTTTCAGCCTTCACGAGACAGTGGCTTCCCAAAGTCCTCGGTGGAGGTATTTGGCCTCTGTCGAGTCTGAGAGCAGATTTGCACATGAGGTGGAAGCAGATCGGTGATCAGGGCCTTTTTCTATTGTTAAACATGACTGGTTAGCAGCCCCTTGCAGCCGTCCCGAAGATTGGCAAAGGGGCACCAGGAGATTCATTTGGAAACTCTCGGCTACTTCCATTTTTCTGATGGTGTGGTCCCTGTATGCTTTTTCATCCACGCTGGTCTGGTCAAGATCTCTTCTCATGTGAAGGGAGACTTGCAGGTCAATACATGTGTGGAGCCCCTTTGTGAGCTCTCAGATGCATAACCAGTGAACATGTGTGGCTGTGGGAAGGGGCGCTAGCCAGAGCAACTTTGCAATGCATCCTCTCATTTAACAAATGCGCAAGAGGGTTTGAGCATGCATTGTCATTAAGCAAGTCATTACGTGGGAAACTGGTGGAGCATTATGACTGAGATGCTGAGCTACGCAGCAGGAAGTTCCCTGCTCATGTCTGCCTTCTGCCCTGAACTTGCTAAGTGGTGTTAAGCCAACCGCTCTGTCCAACGTAAGGGGAGATCCTGGTGTTGACTAAACTAACAACGTTGTTGGAAGGTGGAAGAGTCCAGTCGTGGTCCTTCTGAAGTTCCAAACTGGCTTGCCGGTGCTCCTTAGATGCCCCTTTGCCCTGAGCATCCCTTGTTTGGTGGCTTCCCAGCTTTTGCCCGTGTCCCCCAATCCTAAAGGGTCGAAACACCTCCTCTGAGCCTCAGGTAACAGGTAGCAGTTGCCCAGCCATCCATTCTCTACCACCTTCAGCTCCCTAGCACCACACACGTCATCACTCACCTTACTCCTCTTGGCCCTTTCCCTGTTAGCATTTGGGAAAGGGGAGGACGTGGGTAAATGTACAGAGGGGAAGGGAGCAATCAGGACAGAGGCATTTATTTGGATTGCGTAAAATCTCTCCAGGTTGGAGTGGCTGAGGAGTGTTGGGGAGATGCAGCTACAGTCAAGAGGGGACGAGGGAGAGCCCTCCTCAAAGCCCAAGGGAACCCATGAGGACAAGGCTACTGACGTCCAGAGGGAGCGATAGCCTAAGGAAGGAGGTTGTACTTGTGGGAGCTGCTGGAATGCGTGGCAGAGGCAGAGGACAGGGCAAGGAGTGCAGGCACCATGTTGCCCAGGGAACTGCAGCCTCCTCCGAACAGCGTGTTGGGCAAACATCCACGTGCTGCAGAAACAGTGTGCGGCTATTTGCTGTGATGTGCATACCCGGGCATTAGCTGTCTTTCCCACCATCCCCACCTCCACGGTGTAGCATCGTGTCAAGTGCGGGCTATGGTGCCTTTGCCCGTGGGGCTCCTTATCAATGGCAACTTTTATCTTAAGCTTTATAGAAACTATCCATGGTCTTGAACTCCATCCCCTAAATAGGCTCACCAACTCAGAGCACCATGGATAGTTCCTGTAAAGCTCCAAGTAAAAGCTCTGACATAGGAATGTGCAGCCTCCCTTGCATTTCCCTATTCAGCCATACACCCAAGAATGCTCTCTAGACTGTAGTCACCAAAACTGTAAATTCAAATCTTCTTCTTTTCCTCAAAAGGCCTGGATGTTTTGGACAAGGACAAGAGTTACATTTTCCCAATGGACAAGGTTGTTGAAGAAAATTCCAGTGTCACACTTTGCTGCATCGCCAAAAAAAACAAAAGAATAACCACTTATACATTGTCTTATGATATAAGGAATGCGTTAAGTAAACCAGTGGAAACAAAGCAACGAAGACTAACATTTACTGAAAAAAATGTTCCTCAGAATTCCTTCATTCTGATTTGTCAATTCTCTGATGCTGCTGACAATCGTATATCAGATGTTTTTGTAGACAGTAAGTAGAAATTGCCTGGGGTTACTGCTGAGAGAAAGGATTGTGTTGATGAGAATGAGTATCCATAAGGGCTGGGTTTGTGTTTCTGACTGTTCAGTTGCATATCCAAAAGCAGGGTCCCCAAATTTTTTGGACCCATGAGTTTATTTGTGAATTGGAGAAACAGCTGAAGGCACTGTCGCAAAGTAGCTCCCATTGACGAAGCGGCTACTCACATAATGGTTGCCACGGAGCCTGGCTAATGAAGAATTGGGGCGGGGGAAGAAAGAGCAACGCCTCTTGCCTTTCTCTTTCTCTCCTTCTCGCCCCTTTATCTTGCTGTTTCCTTGCCCCTGTTATCTTGCTCTCTTCCTCTTCTCCTCGCCTTCTCTTCTGCTCAGTGGCAGCATCCTGTGCTTTAACATTTGTTCCAACATTTTTGGAAGGAGCAGGGAGTGGTCACTGTGGCAGCTACGCTGGAAATTCCTGTCCTAAAGTGCCACCTTTCCCATTTCATGCTGCCCACCCACTACAGTGTAATAGCGAAACTTAAGAGGGCCTTTCTTGTAGCCTCCTGCGAGGCCAGGCCCAGTTCTAGAAACAGGCAGAGGAAACCCTTTTATCCTCACCACAACAACCCTGTGAGGAAGGTCAGGCTATGAGCCAGTGACTGCCCAAAGTCACCCCGTGAGCTTCATGGCTGGGTAGGAGACCAGAAGCTGGATGGCTCTCCTCCTGTGCCCTGTCCCAGCAAGCCCCAAAGCATGCTTCAGGGCCGAGTGCTGTGCCAGCCCCTTGTTCATTTTGGCTGTCTTTTCTCTGTTTGATATGTGACACCAGAACGGCAGACATGGGGTTGCGCCATAAGTTAGTATAACAAAACGATGATGCTGGCAGTCCTGTATGACCCCGTTCTTATCCTTAGCATAGAATTCTGGTGGAGTTCAGCAGAGAAGCTGCTTGCGGGAAATAATACTTGGCTCCAGCTCTCACGCTGATAAGCTAGTCTTTGGCAGCCCCCCTGTCAGGGGTTTGAACTCTGGCTCACCTGGGGTCCTAATCTGAGTTTCCTGGCCATTCCCCTTTCTTGCCCAACAGACATGAGGCTTTTTGAGCTTTTGCATCCACATTCTAAAAGGCTGAAGGGCCTTTCCAAAGCAGCCGCAGGTGCTCCAAGCTAAACCGTGGCGGTATCTTTTCCGGACCTGCCCCAGCTGGCATGCGGTCCCAAAACACTGTGACCCTCTGGCACTTCATTTTGCTCTTGAGCTCAAAGAGATTCAACTCTCTGTTCCAAAGGCAAGCAAAAACCATCTCTGTTGAGGATTTCCAGTTACAAAAATCATTGGTGAGGGAGTGACCCACAACTGATGGGATTGCAGTTTTCTGGTTGGATTCAATTGATGGATGGTGCAAACTTCACTTTCTTCAGCTGTGGTTGTAAGGAAGTAACATCATAACACAGCCTTGTTTCAACAGGACAGCCTGATGCACCCAAAGATGTTTCCTGTGAAACACATGACATGAAGAGCGTAACATGCACTTGGGACCCTGGCCATCCTTCTTTGCCAAGATGCTCAAAAAACTTCACCTTGTCAGATAAGTAAGTATCCTTGAAACATTCCTGAAATATTTACTTTTTGCAAAGCATCGTTTGCAAATTGGGAAATGTGCATTCTCTCTCTCCCTTGCACAGAATCCTGTGTTCAGCGCCTGTTTAACCTGTGATCTACTTTTGCCTCTGTTCTGATGCTAACCGTGGTTGACGCTTGTCCTAGTTGAAATCAGCATGAGTGGGAGAGTGCTGATACACTCATGTCCTGCTTGTGGTGTAGCCCATGGGTAGCTGGTTGGTCACTGTGAGAGTGGGATGCCAGACCAGATGGCCCTTCGCTCTGAACCAGCATGGCTCTCCCGATTAGCCACAGTGAATTCTTGACTTATGCAGAATTTGACACCAGGCTTTCAAGTGGACTTCCAAACCTTGACCAGTGAGAAACTTGGGAAATCTTTCTCATGGTTAACATTGCCACAAGTGGAATTTTAAACCATGGTTAAGATTGGGGAAGGAAGAATAAGATGAATTTTCAGCAAGGTGTGGATAAAGCATTTCAGAATCTTGCCTTCCATGTTCCTACTTATGTGAAGCTATTACTCTACTCTGAAATTGTTTCTTACTAGAAAGAAAAATAAACTGTTTGCTTTTTTCCTTTTCCTTTCAATTTCTACCACCATTTCTTGAAAGTTCTTCTATGAAGATTTATTGCAATTGCAATACTGTGGAGAAATGCAGTAATAGTTGTTCATTTGAGATTGGTGAACAAACCACATACAATTTAAAGGTGATGTCCAAAAATTGTCTTGGCCATAAAACTACCCATTATGCTTTTGATGCATCCAACAGAGGTAAGAGTTTGTTTTCTCTGTTAGCATTTTAGTAGTGCAAAGTATTAACTAAAATTCCAAATTGCTAGATCTTATGAACCATAATCTTCCTTTCTCCCTTGTCGATTCACTTATTAGTTATCATCATCATTATTATTACTACATTAAATGTCTATACCATCACTTAGCCATAAAAGGCTCTCAGGCTGATTTACAAAATACCTTACTGCGATATATAAAATACAATATAAAACAAAGTACAAGAGTTCAAAATGCTACATGAGGCAATAAATGCAACAATTTACAGAATTTATAAAATATCTAAAACAGTGACAGCAATACAAAAATTAAAGCTAGACAAGTCATTAAAGGCTGATGCTCTCTTTGCTGATAACAGAAGCAAAACAAATGACATTTATATTTAAGTGTTTCTTTTCATGGGTTGACCCAGGCAGGGGTGCCATTAGAGCTGGACTTTGGGGCTGAAGTCAGCAGAGGGCCCCCAAACGCATCAGAGCTGGCTTGCCATATGATTAAGTCAGTGAAGTATAACACATGACTAAGTGATGTCCACAAGACAATTAAGTCCAGAGTCCAAAACTACATGACTTCACTGTTGCGACTACTAACAATCCAAGATCTGGGATCTCCCTCAGATGAATTAGTTACCATGGACTTACAGGGCTGTAGCTCCAGGGTTGAGAAAAGGTAGACCAATGTTTAGGACTTCAACTTCCAGAAGGCCCTGCCAGCATGGCCAACAGGTAGGAATGCTGGGAACTGAAGCCCAACATACCAAGAAAGCTATTTTCTGCTCAAGTTTGTTGTAGAATACTAGGAATGCTCAGGTAAAAAATTATTATGCTGAAATATTACTGCTGCTTTTGATTGACTGGAATTTGGTGCCACCCATGAAGCCTCATCCAAGCAGTGAAGGTTGAATAAAAAGGGGCTTGCTAGGAATCCAGCATCTACTTTTATGAACAGGAACAAATATCTTAACAAGTGGTCTTGATTGCCACTAGACTTTTGAGCAAAAACTGCAAATGCTCAGAAAAACACATGCTTACTTGCCCCATTTGTGGCAGAAATGAAGGCGATTCTTTTGCTTGTTTGCTGCTGTTCCTCCTGGCATATGGGGGGTGCCGTGTCAGTGCTGCTGGTGCTGGGAAATGCAGCGAAATTGGGCTCACTGCAGTGGTGAGAGGGAACGGTGTCGGGGGCTCCCCTTTTCATTATCCCACTTCTGGAGCAGATGGATAACAGGGAAGCAGCGTTCTGATTTGGCTTGCATTCCAACCTGAGTCAGAGAAACTGTGTGTGCACACACAGGGTTTTTGCAATGCTCACCTTTTATTGGCAGTGTTTTGAACTGCTGGGTGTGTGCATGCACGAACCCAGACACACACGCACGTGCACACACACCCACACACAGCTTTACCAGCTCAGGCTTTAATTCAAGCCAAGTCAGAAATCTAGTGAATCCTCTCCAGCCATGCAACAGGACTTTTCCTTCCTGTCTCTCCCTGCAGCTTCTTGGGCTTCTTGAAATCACTGCGGGGACAATTAGTATGTGCAGGGAGGAGCACCCTTCTTCCTGTTACTGATGTAAGGTATTTCACAGGAGGGTCTGATTGGATACAAGCCCCAGTGCGGCCCTGTGGGTTACAGACTTCCATGGTATTTTGAGTTTTGATCTTGTGGTCTGTGAAAAGCTTGGCGAGGCGATTTAGAGTGAGAACCAGGATGGGGAGTGGTTAGAGCACTGAGCTAGGATTTAGGTGTTCTGAGTTTGAGTGTCTACTCAGCCTGCAACCTTGCTGGGAGTCCCCGGGCTTCTTTCTGAATCTCAGCCTAATCTACTTCTCAGGATGGCTGTGAGGATAAAATGGAGAACAAAAGGAATGTAAGGAGACTTGGCTCCCATGCAGGATAAAAGGGGGATATAAATGCAGCAATAGATAAACTCTTGACAGCCTGAAATGCTCTTTCAGAAGTGTCTGCATTAACCCTTCTTCTTTCCTTTCTTTTTTAAAACCAGTTCGTCCCAAAGCCCCCTCTCTTTTCTCAGGAGGAATAAATGCTTCTGCCATTGAATTACATTGGAATGTAGACCTTATCAAGGGAGTATCACATCTGTTATGTGAAGTTAGCAATTCTTCTGGTGAGGAAGAAGAACGGGTAAGAAGCTCTGGTGACTAATGTAAAGATATTTGCACATTTCCCCTGCCACTACTTTCATGGGGCTAACCAAGATGCTAGCATGAAAAAAGCCCAAACAACCTTTTGTAGCATTCACATGCCCCAGAACACCAGCAAATTCACTCCAGCATCACATTTGATGGACTGGGGCCATATGTGGTGGAACAGGGGCAGTATTTTATTTAATATTTATTGCATTTTATACCAGCCAATAGCTGCAGTTGTCTTGGTGGTTCACAAAAATTTAAAACATAAAATTAAGATACAGCGTAAAGGTTTAAAACTGCAAGAAACAAAAGACCTTATATAAGTGCAAAGACCTTTATAAGTGCAAAGGCTTAACATACAACTCAGAATTTAAAACACACTAAAACTAAAATTTCTGGGAAAGTTTCTGGAAAAATAAAAGCATCTTCACCTGGCCTTGGAAACAGGTGCCAGGTGAGCATCCCTGGGAAGTTCATTCCATAGCTGGAGAACCACAACTGAAAGGGCCTCCTCTTTCTAGCTACCCCCCTGATTTTCTTTGGCTGTGGCTCCCTCGGAAGGATGGTCTTAGGATCCAGGAAGGTTTAGATGGGAGGTGATGGTCCTTCAGGTATCCTGGCCCCAGGCTTATCCCACAGTAAATTTGTTCATCTTTGAAAATGCCACAGGTTACAATGTGATGCTCCTACAGTGCTTTCTCTGAAAGCACCAGCTTCAGTGGAGCTAAGTGTGTGCAGGATTACACCCTCAGTTGGTGGTGGCAGTCTGTGTATTTTTTTCACCAGCAATGCTAAAAGCCACCCAAAGGACAGTGCTTTCAACAGGTGCAAGCCAGGGTGCATAATGGTGGATTTCCATAATATTTCTGCTTCCCAAGCCAGCTTTAGAAGCAGAATGGAGATGGGAAGACAAGACAGTCCATGCATGCCACCTGCTGGCTGGGGAATGCTGAGAATTGCAGAAATTTTTCCAGTCTGAACTTGTGTAGGATTGCACCCTGAGGCTGACCTCACACTTTGGTGAGAGAAGTAAGTGGGGCATCCTGGTCCTCAGTTGCATATTAGCCTCAGCTTTTGCTTTCTGAAAATGCATGGACAACTAGAGGCAGGGTGTGCAGCATGCCTGCCTTTGGGGCAGGACCTGGAGTGCTGCCCCACTGCACATTCGTTGCATGCTGCCCCCTTGCTGCAGGCCGTGTGCAAAGGATACTTCAGCGGGGTGCCATTGACATGGACATGTATGGGGAGAGACGCCCACACATGCCGCTGGAGGGTTCAAGCTTACCTGTGGTCATGGCACTAACTCACTGGCTGCTGGACTTCATATTCTCTGCCATCGTCTCCTTTCTGCAGTGCTATATAATGCCGCCATGTCATGCAGACAGCAGCCAGAAGCAGCCCTGGCCACAAAAGCTCAGCCCACTGTTTAAAAAGTATTTAAAAATACTTTTAAAATTATTCATGAATAATGCATAGACTACTTAATAGAATAAAATCTTTGAGCAGCATGCATCTCAAAATATTTTAAAATCCATGTTGAAAATGCACGTTTAATAAACAGTTGCAACAAAATAAATAAAAATTTCAGTACAGGAGCAGTAAAATGTTGCCTCATCTTAACGGTCAGAAAAACCCAACATAAAAAGAATATCATCAGGTGTTTAAAACACCTTTGCCCCGCAAACTGCCTTTGGGAGCTGCTTCAGAGGACCAGTGCTATATACTGAGAAGGCCTGCTTTGGAGAGGTTACACGGCCACATGGCGTTGACACGGAATGTTCCACAACGCCTCCTTCGAAGAAATTCCAGCTGGGTGGATGCATATAGGGGAAGGCAGTTCTTTTGGCATTCTGGTCCCAAGTCCCTGAGGGCATTATAGGTCAATGGCGGAACTTTGCCCATGGCTCCTTAGCTGAGAGGCAGCCAGTGCAGCCCTTCTAAGCCGAGTGGAGGGTCGGCATGGCTGTGAGCACAGAGCGTGCCAGCTGCTGCATCCTGCGCTAGCGTCAGCTTCGGAACCAGGTGCAAGGTTAGCCCAGCCACCAGCACAGCACAGCACAGCAGCCTAATTCGCAGCTTCCCAGTGTGCGATGCAGCAACTGGGCTACCCCTGTGCAGGATCAGGCCTAGTTGTTTCACTGCCTGAAGGTGGTGGGGAGCATAGGTAACTTCCAAGCCATGGATGGTAACTGGGCCTCCAGTGACAAAGAGAATCCATGAGCACCCTTAAACCAGGGGGCTTTTGCTTCAGAGGGGGTGTATCCTTATCCAGAAGAGGTAAACTACTTCAACCCTTGGGCCCAAGAACCATTCCCCCACGGGGGCCTGTTTTCCCAGGATTTAGTTTCAGGAGGTCGGTCCTCATCCAGCCCAGGAACATGCATGGTCACTCCAGGATTAGTTGTTACAATTTATTAGAGGTGGGTGTCTTCAGCATACTGATAAAGCTTGGCCCAAATCTCTTATTGATTGCTCTTGATAGCTCTGTGGAGATGTTGAAACAACACTGGTGCAAAAAGGGCCCCCAGCTCACGGTTTTTAAAATTTTATCCTCCACCCCACAACTCAAGCCAGGGATTATCAAACAGGATGTTCAGCTCCACTCAGGTCAAGTTTAAACAAAGTCCAGTCACTTTCAAGAGTTTTGGAGTGCTTGACCTAGCAGGAATGTCCTTGCTGAAATGCTATTATTTTGGTATTTCTCATTTTGCTTTGGATTAGTCCCGGCTCATTTTGCTCTTCTGCATCTTCTGAGGCTGCATGTCAACTTTAATGGAAAGCTTCAATAGCAAAAATCCATCCCGTGACATGTAACAGTTTTAATATGTTTGACTTTCAGCACAACGTCACAGTGCCACACAGGCTGACCTTGGCGCATCACATGCACCTGACTGGGCTGCAGCCTTACACGGTCTATTCGTTGAAAGTGTGCTGCTGTCCCGCTGACAGACCCTTCTATAAATGGAGTGAATGGAGCAATCCGTTAACTATCCGGACAGATGAAGCTGGTGAGGAAGTTGTGCTGTGAGAACATCTCTCTTTGGTTCGGTGGCTTTCAGTGGAGGGGAAGTGCCTACGCCAGCTCTGGGCAGAGGGCGGGGGGGGGGGGTCAACCTTACGTCAGGGTTGTCCCAAAACGATTGGCCACCTGAAGCATAGAACAAGATGGCGGCTTGTCCCATTCTGTGTGCAAAAGCAGAGCAAGCTGGCAAGTGTACCTTTCGTAGCATCTAAAGTCAGCAGGCTGGTTTATGAAGCTCTCATACAACACCTTGCTGTCACCATTGCGCATCTGCCAGCCAGTTGTTTCACCTACGTAATGGTAGGGCCGGCCCTGCCCAGGGCTTCCAGGGGAATAACTGCCTTTGATCCATCTATCAAACACCCTCCGACTATATCCTTGGATTGAGCTTCATGAGACTTGCCTTCTGAGTAAACCTGTGCAGGATTGCATAGGAAGACGGCACAGGAGTCTGCAGGAGCGTCCTGACAGCCAACGATCTTCAGCAAAGTTCATAGGAATTGATCCCTGCAGTGGGAAGCTGTGAGAGCTGCACTTCCCTGGGCTTTCCTCAGCCTTCAGTTGTCTTTTGCTGTCTTTCCTTAACTGCAAAAAATAAATGGATTGAGCAGCAGTCCATCTGCACAGTTGACATGAACCATGGCATGGTTCATGGCATGTGTACCATGGCATGTGTACAAACTTGCCTGACTCTGGAGCAGAAGCAGTGGGACATCGGGTGTCCTGGGCAGATGGAGGGAGCTCCTAGTCTCCTGACACGTGACTGAATGCCATTAGGCGTCTTGAATTAGCAGGAAAGGGGCCTTGCTTGATTGCTGAGCTGCCCACCTAGACTTGGTCCGATGAGCTTCACTCCCAGTGATGCAGCAGTGCTTTCTGTGTGCTCTCATTTGCAGCCCCATCTGGGCAGCTGGACGTTTGGAGGGACATCAGCCCAGATTTGAAGAAAAGGCTTGTGACTGTTTTCTGGAAGGTACGTCCAGCCATGCCATTGGGGACATACCATGATGGGCGGTATGACAAAGCAAGGCTGGGGACGGATGATAGTTCTGGTTTTGTTATTCTGAGAACTGGGGAGGTGACAGGATTGATTTGGTTGATTGTCACCTGCCTAGAGTGTGGTTGAAAAAAAGCAACAATGACCAAACCAAAGTTCATGCCAGTATGTTCTTTTTTGCCCAGAATGGGAGAAATGTTTAGAGGTTGTTCCTATTTTTTAAAGAGTTTTCCTCATGTGAAGTGTGCCTTTTCTGCCCACATTTTCATTATTTGTTTAGTTATGGGAGGCTCCAGGAAAGCAGACCATATATTCTTGAGTAAGCTGTTTTAACCTTGGATTTTCCAGCTCATTGTGCCAGTGAGGAATAGCTAGAGGTTCATCCTTTACTCAGACTTGGTTTCTTTTGGAAGGAGGTCATCAGAAGCTTATTGGCATTCTGGAATATCACTCTAATGGAATAATATACTGAAGGCCCAGCTTAAACTAAAGTGCTTTAATTTACATCAGATCTCGAGAGAGAGGCATTCCTGCAGCTTGCCACTGCTTCCACAAATGCCTCACCACCGATGCATCCACAAACACATTTCTCTGGGAGTGTGTCTCTTTAAAACAGCGTACTGACTCTTTCCTCTCACCAATGCACACAAGCAAACAGACCTGTGTGATGTCTCCCCGGAAAGGGGAAATGGTGTGTGCCCCTTTCAGGACTTCCCTGAACTGGTGCCTTCCAGCCAGCATCACCGGTAGTGAGAAATGGTGGAAGATGCAGGCTGTGTGGAGGGCACCAGGCTGGGGAAGGCTATGCTGCAAGCTATTTCCTGGCCTTCAAAATGCATCAGCGATCTCCCCAGCTCGAAGGAAGGGAAAGACCACGTGTGGGTGACCTGTGGCGAAATAACGTAGGACTCCAACTCCTCTCATTCCCAGCCAACATCGTCAGGGGTGATGACTTGTAGTTCGGCCACAAGTGGAGGGCCACGAGTTCTCATCCCTGTTCGACGGACACCCCAGCAAGTTTGAGCACTTTAGCCCCTCTGGCCCCATCAACTCTATCCCATCCAAACTCGTAAGTTTCAGAAGAAGTAAGTGGGTTATACTGCAGAGCACATGCTCCCTCCTGTTCCCAGTGAAAGGGTGAGATTGATGGGAGGCATCTATGCTCAGGACCCTGGAAAGCTGCTGGCACTTGGAGTTGCTTGCTTTTCTGTGCAGCCCCAATTGCTTGACTCAGTATAAAGGCAGCTGAGTGAGCAAGGACAGTAGAAGAGCCCTGCTGGATCAGCCAAGAGACCATCTAGTCCAGCATTCGGCCCACAGTGGCCAGGCAGCCAACCCCGAGCAGGGCATGAACGTAGCAGATCCTCCTGCCCAAAAAAGCCTGGCAACAAGTACGGGTGGGCACCCCGGGGCTTGTAGCCACTGGCAGCCTCCCCCTGCATGAATGTCTCCTATCCCCTTTTAAAGGCATCCTGGCTGAGGGGCATCCTTGCATCTTGTGGGTGTAGGTCCTCCCCACTGTGAGCTGTAGCTTCAAAGAACAAGGCAAAACTTGGTGCCATCTTCTCCAAGCAATGAAAATCAAGAGCTGTTGGACGGAGGCTACCTGGCCAGCACACTTGTCACGTGGCTTTGCACCTCACACTCTTAGCAGCAGGCCCCCTCTGGTGTTGCAAGCTGAAAACAGTAAAAATGCAACCGGCATCCTCAGTCCAAGGCTGTAACAAAGTGATGTGGAATTGCCCTGGAAAGAAGCACAGGTGTCGCCTGTATCTCTAGCCATTCTGTTTTCTTTCCGTAGGCTTCGCCGCACTTTCGTGCTCATGGAAAAATCAAGACATATGAGATTTTCTGGGAAAAGTTAGAAGAATCTGTTGCATCTGATCAGTATAAATTTGTAAATGAAACGAAGAACTACAAGACCATTCCCCTTGATGGTCATTCTTACAAAATTGGTGTCTCAGCAAGGAACTCTGTAGGCACATCCACTCCCTCCGTGATCATCATCTTAGCAGCTAAAGAGAACGGTTTGTACATTTAGATGTGTTGTTCGAAGGACTCATGGTTCCTCATGGCATCACACTGAAATAATATAACATTTTCAGAAAAGCCAGAATCCGCGAGTGAAGCCGGAAGCTACTAAAGAGAGGACCTTTTCTGTTGCGGTCACTGTTGTGGAATGCCTTCCCCCAGCAATGCTTGCCTGGTGCCTTCTCTGGGGTTTTTTTGGCCTCAGAGGAAGATCTTTTTATTCTCCCAGACTTTTAAAGTTCTCTGTTGTTTATCATGTGAAATCATTATTGTATTTTAAGATCTTCGCACTGGTTTGTGCTAATATTTATACTGTAATTTTGAACTTTGAGAAGTTTTATATTAGACTTCACTGCATTCCCTCATTTCATGGACTTAACAGCTTTGTTTTGGGGAAGCATAGAAATGTAATAATTAATGGTCTTCATTGTCGACTAGCTGGATGAGAGCTTATCAGAGCTGTAGTCCAAAACACTGGGAGAGCATGCATGGGTTTTGTGGGTGTTAGGTGGTCACATCTGGGAAGGGATACCCCAGGAGAGAGTATTTGTACCTTGCTTTCTCTTGCAAAATGTCCCACAAGTCTTGAGCTATTTGGTTAGCACACGCCTTCCCACAGGGCATGTCCTGCTTGGGGGAGAGTGCAGTTGCCATGGCAGAGGGCTGGACTGGGTGGTAAACAGGCCTAGGGAAGATGAGGTGGCTTTTTGGGTTCCTTTGGCTCTTGTTTCATTGGACCACTTCTTAGGCATACGTTTTGCAGTCATCTAAACACGGCAGTGTGGATTTCTTTTAGCCAAAGTGAACTACATTAAAGAAGACACGCTCAACAACACAGCGCATCGTATTTATATTTCTTGGAAGCCCCAACCCAAGTTTGATGGCTACATTGTTGACTGGTGCAATCAGCCCCAGTCCCATCCTTGTGATTTTCAGTGGAAGAAATTTGGGAGAAATGACTCCAGTGCACTCATTTTATCGGGTAAGAAAACTATACCTTTGTTTTTGAATGGATAATTCTTGAGGCAATTCTTATGGAGCTGCTATCACACCCTCCCCATAAGACCACAAAAAGCTTGCCAGGCTCAAGTGCCTCCCACAGCCTGGATGGTTGACTTTTTATCTTGCTAAGTAAATAAATGCAGTGATGTTTTCATTAATTTATATGGGGGGGAGGGGAAGCTGTCCATCCCAAAATGGCAAGTGGGGCAGATGGTTCACCCTCAGCAACAGTCCCAAGGGGATGGGCTGTGACCGAACAGAGCCCTGAAGAAAACATGACCATCCACAAACTTGGCAGCCATTTTGTGAGTAGGACTAGTCACTTCCCTAGCAATAACCATTTTGTTGTCATGGTCACAGAACTTTAAATATGCCATATAGGACCATAGAAATGTTTCAGGCTTCAGTTAAATGATCTGAAACTTCCTTTCACTCTGAGGTGCCAACATTTTATTTTCCTCTTAAATTAAACACTAACTTTCTAGGAAAAAAATAAACACTGGTAATAAATGGGTATATAATTTGGTGTCTTATGTACAATCTATATATTTATTTGAAAAGTGAAGGACCACATTAGAAGTGTTTTCATTTATTCTTTTCATGAGCTGTTGTATTGAAGGAAGGATGGTGTGAGTATATACATACATAATTACACACACACACACACACATATATGTATTGGAAAAAATAGTTTTGCAGTTTACGTTCAAAATCAGATAATTTGTCAAGAGAAACAGTTGACACAAAAACCTCCACAGGAAATGGCTGTGAGAGCTCTGAAATGACCTCTCATATCAGCTCAGCCACTAAAGTTCTGTGGAGTGATTGTGAACATTCCATTGCTCAGAAGTTTTTCTTTTTAAAAAAGGGACAGCCCACAAAGCTTTGTGCGGAAGGTGTGTTTGTTCAGCAATGGAATAGGCTGCACCATCAATGTGTTGACCAACTGTTGGACTGTGTATATGAAAAGAATGTTTCTGTGGGAAATGTTACTAGCATATGAATATGACTTTTGTCTACCAACAATGACACTCAATGCATATTCTGTATTTGAACAGGAAAAATGTGTGAGCTGGAGGGAAATGGAAGCAAATCTCACATGAACCCCCAAACCCATCCATTCATTTTCAAGGGACTCTGCTTAATTATTTTCCATTGCCATGCATTGCAATGAAAATTGCTTTGGCTATTGGGCACTATAGAAATTTAGTAATTATGTCCTCCAATAAAATAACTTGTTTTAAGCAGTGCATGTAATCTGATTTTATATGCTTACTCTACATACTTACTTCCATGTTTCTTGAAATGTGTTATGCTCTAGATGCTTTCTCTCCTGGGGTGAGATACACTTTCAGAGTGTATGGAACACAAGGTAACAGAAGCTATTTACTGGAGGTGAAGACTAAATACCTTAAAGAACTGGGTAAGCCCACAATGCTTTGTGACCATGTTGTAACTGTATGGGTTGGGAGAATCTCTTGAAGACAGAAAGCCCATAGGAGTTTGCTTGGGTTCTAATTTTACTTCTATGAACAGAGCAGAATTTCTGCTAACATGCTTTAACCTGATGGAGGATTCATCTGAGGAAGGAAAAAAGGGGAGGACTAGTACAGCAGGACTCAGCCAGGGCCAGGTGGGAACTGGAAGCTTCAGCTAACAGTCTTCCCCCTGGAAGGGACACCTGGCCCCTCCCAGGCCATTCCTTGACTTCCCCAAGTGGAGGAAACAAAGTCAGAGGCAATTCAACCCTTAGAATGGTGCAGAATCAGACATGAGCAGAAGAAGATCAGATGGAAGGCACAGAGAGAAACCTCCCTTAAAAGCAACACACTGAGTTAATTAACCAGCTCTGCTGATTGACAGCCAGCTACAAATTAGCTAGAACTTGCTCTCTTTAGCATTTCAACTTGATGCTTTGCCTTACAGTTCTGGTTCAGATGGATTTTTTGACCTTCAGATACTATCTGGACCATTTTCTCAGACATCCTTAAGTGGCCTGGACACTTGGCATGATAAATACTATGAATTGACATCTAAATTTTCCTGAAGATGCCATAGCCCAAACCAGATGCTTGCAGACATAGGTGCAGGATACATGATTCCCTCTATTCCTCTTGCTACAGCGGCACCTTGAGCTCACATTTTCCCCTGGAAGTGGGAGAAGAGCCTATGGAATAGTGTGTGGGGGTTGCAAATGGAAGGGGGTTACTGGAAATTTCCCCATTATCATATGGAGCAACTTGGAGCCAAGGAGCAACTTGGGAATGAGATCACTGCTTTTCCTGTTGTGAGCCAAAGGTGTGATTGTTATAGGCCTCTCCCCTCTTATCAGTGAAAGAAATACTAGACTCACGCACATATCCAGAAATTTCTCATATGCCTGGGAGTGCCCATTCAGACAAGAAGCTTCCTTACCAAGCAAGAACTCCTTTGGCTTTGTTTATTTCCATGGAGAAAGCAGATTTTATTCGTAGCCCTTCTGTGCGAGCATCTGTAGCAAATGAGGACAACATACAGGAGCCTTCAAAGTGTGTTCTAGTGCAAATGGAACTATACATCAATGCTAAACAATTATTGGACTAAAGCTAGATAAGCATGCAGTCAGCAGCTGTATCTGGAGAATTCTCCTGTTTGCAACATAATAGACCAGTGTTACAAGGAAAGACCTGCTGCTATGGACCAAAACTGTCCATGAGAAGCCTATGTTTCCTGTGAGTCTCCTGAACAGTAAGGAAAATCCAGAGGCCATTGGCCCTCAAGTCCAGCCTGTGCTGTTGCAGGACACCACGTTACACCATCCCACTCAGGTGGCTGTCCGTTTTTTTCTGGAATGTCTCTGGTGTGGAAGAGCACACAACCACTCTAGGCAAATGGTTCCACTCCCGTATTGCTCTGACAGTGAGGAAGCTTTTCCTGATGTCCAGCCTGAATCTGAATTGTTGCAACTTGACTTGGTTATTCCGTGTCCTACATTATGGCATCAGCAAGAAGAGATCTTGACCTTCCTCTTTGTGGCAGCCTTTGAGGTACTTATAGAGGGATACCATGTCCCCCCTCAGTCTTGTCTTCTCAAGGCTGAACATGCCAGTTCTCTCAGTCTCTCCTCATAGGGCAGTGTTTCCAAACCCTGGATCATTTTTGTTGTCCTCCGCTGGACCCTTCCTAATTTACCTGCATTTTTCTTAAATCTTGGTGTCCAGAACTGGACACAGTATTCCAGGTGGGGTCTGACTAGTGAGGAGCATAGAGGAACTACTACTTCTCATGATTTGGAAGTAATACTTCTGTTAATGCATCCCAAAATAGCATTTGTCCTTTTGGCGGCTGCATCACAAGAGTTGGTCCAATTCCAATATTTGCAGGGTGGGGTGAGAGGCCTGTCCAAAATGAGACAACCCTAATGTCAAGGTCGAGGATTAGCACTGCAGGAAGCACATGGCAATTCTGTCGACTTCCTTTTTTCCAGAGCCACCCTCACTGCTCGACATTGAAACATCTGACGTGACTTCCAATTCAATTACTCTAACTTGGAAAACTTATCCTCAAGATTTCCAAGCTGGATTTATCAGAGGTTATGCAATTTATGTGACTAGAAATTGCACAGTAGAGGGCTCTGTACAAGTTTCATTTCCAGGTAAAGTCATTTTGGAAATCTAATGTAATGTTTGATTAAGTGACACAGGAACGCTGAGTCAGATGTCATGAGGAAGTAATAAGGTGTTGCCTTAAGCAAAGGGAAACGTGATGTGATCAGAAGGAAGAAATCTTCCTGGAGAAAGGAAACCAGTTCTAAGAGGGAAATGCAAAAATAACAAGTTGGTGATTCCAGCGAAGAGTTCAGGAGTTCAGGCTGAGGAGAAACCCTGCCAGGCAAGAGGGAAGCCTTGTAAGCTTGAAGGGCTTCCACCTAGCATTGCCTGTGCATTAAGTGTGGCCGGGCAGGGCGGGGGGTCCTCTGAGTGCCCTTTCTTCTTCTGCTAAGCACTGGAGAATGGACAATTCGGCTATAATGTCCCATTTGTGGAATGTGCAGAGAGAGTGACCTGCCTGGCATCTTCTTGTGAGTCTCTTTGGCATCAGGCAAAAAGCCTTCTTATGTTTCCAGGTATTTTAGTACCACATTAGCTGACTTGGGTTTTAAGAAGCAGCTCTCATTTTAAGCTGTTGTGTACTGTAATGCATGTTAATAGGGGAAAGGCTTGATCAAGAAGGGGAGGTAACACACTGCCTGGGCAGAATTCAGGCTGACAGTATTTGCTTTATTTTTTTGTTTTTCTGTGCCCTGCAAGGCCAGTCGCCTGGAGCAAGATGCAAAATAGGCTTTGTGGGGATACAGTGGATGTACAATTAAAGGAAATGGGACTCTGAGCCAAAGTTCAGCCCAGAACTGAGCTGCAAATGTCTAGTTTCCTTAGTTCCAGCAGCATAAGTTGGGGAGAGCAGAAGCCCTTCAATTGTTATCACTCTTAATCTATGGGCAGTGCAAAACTCTTGCCAACGAATTACAGCAGAGTGCTATCAGTATATCCCAATCTAGCTGCTGCCTGCCCCTGAGCAAGAGCCAGTGCCCTCCAGATGCCTTGATCCACAGTTCCCACAGTGCCTGTTCACTGGGGCTGTTGACTGGGACTGATCGGAGTTGACTTCCAAACATTCCAAGGGTGCCAGGCTCATAGGGTGGTTTCTGTGATTCTGGCATGCTGAAGAACGTGTAAAACACATGTGCCACCTGTTCTCTTTTGTGGTCGCTGCCTCACGGTCAATTCCAGGGGCAGGAGAAGGGTGCCCATGGGAACTGGAAGTAGTCCTTGGACCCTCCAAAGTGGTAAAGTGTATTCTTTCTCTTACTGTTGATTCTGCTGCGTTTGGAGTTTTGGAGGCCCTCTGGCACATACTGCCTTCCTTAAATGCACCACCAGTGATGTGCTAAAAATCTGTAGGCTTGTTCACAGCTGTATGGACCCTTCTGGATGACTGGAACATCAGGTGATGGTGAGGGGTGAGAGGAAGAGAGAGCAATCTCAGGTGTATCATATGTGGGCCAACCCGAAATGAGTTGAATGGGAGAGCAAGATGCATCATATTTCAGTTCACGTTCACATCATTTACACACGCAAGTCTACACAGGGTGTTGCAGGATGCGCATGGAACCCTCCAGTATACAGACAGGAACTGCAGAGATGGATCAGGACCTGCAGTAAGGGATCTGTAAGGGTGGGAGCAAATACATGTGTCAAGTGACTGTAGAACGACTTGGGAAAGGTTTTCCTTTTCTTCTTCGAAATGCGTCTTTGAGGAGGAGCAACAGACAGGGCTGTTACCTTGTTTGCTGCCATATATTCTGCTTGCATGTTTGTTTGCTTTAATACAGATGGTCTAATGGTATGCAGATACACAATTAAAGATCCACATCAGAATAGATTTACTGTGGAACACCTGGAGCCCAGCACAGTTTACCAGTTTTCAGGTCTGGCTTACAGCACCAGTCCCCCAGATATAGCAGTTTTGAATTCATCAGTAACTACCAAATTTAAAAGTAAGTCATACAAATTGTGCATGATGAATGGATGTACTTTTCTCTAAAAGGTCTGTATATTTTGAAAGGCATTTGCGTTGTTGCTGTTATGGACAAGCTCGGCATTGAGAAACTGAGGAAGCGTCTGATCCTGAATCAGACCAGTGCTTTATTTCCCGATGCTGGCAAGCAACCCGCAGAGCGGGCCGTTCTCCCCTCCTCCCCACTTCAGTCCTGCGCTGATAGCCACTTGGTTGGATTGGTGCAGTGTGGTCTTTGTGAGACTGTCTTTGAAAAGAGTCCAGAAACTTCAGCTGGTCCTGCTGGTCCAATATAGGGTGGCTAGATTGTTAGCAGGGACTGGCTGATACGGATCAGATTACATCAATGCTTTGTGATCCACACTGGCTTCAGGGCCCAATTCCAAATACTGGCATTAACTTTTGAAGCCTTCAATGACTTAAGGCCCATGTACACATGTCTAGACCTTAAGAGCTTCAGAGGGTCCTTCCCCAGCTGAGGTAAGATGGATGACACTAAGGAGCGGAAACTTCTCCATGAGGGTGCCCCCTTGGGGCCTGTCTGGGGAGGCTTGCCTGGTGTCTATATTGCAGTCTTTTCAGCACCAGGGGAAGAGCTTTTTCCTCTTGCAGGCTCGTAGCCCTTCCGTTGTTGACATTTTAATGTGTTTGGTATGTTTTAAGCCTGCACTGTTGGCTTTTATTTTGGTTTTAATCTGGGCTTGTTCAGCTCTAACTTCTACCATTCTTATATTTTACTCTGCTATAGCATTGTGCGGGTTTAAGTCTTTTTTATGAACTGCTTAGTGAATGTTGGCTCTTGAGCATTATAGAAATGTAATAAATATATACTCATTGAATGCCAGCCTGAAGTGATGCCATGCAATAGCCTGTTTTGCCCCATTTTAAATTGGGAGGGGGCTGCTTCTGTTCATTTTGTGGCAATGTACTGGGCCACAATACAAAATGCACACAAATAGATGCATATTTATCTTTTTCTTCAGGAGGAGAGAGGTTCATGAGTACCCTTTTGACGCTACTGATTGTACCACCAGTGCTGCTGAGTTGCTTGTGCCTCTGGAAATGTGATTGGTAAGTTTTATAGTGAAACTTTTCTGTACAAACAGTAATTAATAAAAGGCAAGAGGGTTCTGGTTACCTTACCTGAAAAAGGACATGATTGAGGTGGAAAAAGTGAAGAGGAGGGCAACAAAAATGATCAGGGAGCTGGAGCAGGTCCCCTTTGAGGAGTGGCTGCAGCTGGGACTGTTGAGCTTAGAAAAAGGGCAAGTAAGGGAGACATGATAGAGGCGTTCAGAATAATGCGTGGTTCTCTTCTCCTCTCAAAGGGATGGTGAAGGCTGATGGCTGATACAGCCTACTCAGACAAAAATAATGGCATTGTGGGTCAGAGCTCATCAGCTCATGAGCAGTGAGATGTCACAGTTGCTCGTGATGATCATCATCCCTGCTGTGACGAGTTAGATAATCAGCATTGCATTACTGTATCCCAGTTTAATAAGCCAAGATACAAATGCAGTTCCTTTATGCCTCCCTTGGTGAAGGCTGTGGTTAAATCAAGACCTCTCCAATTAATGATAGTTTCAGCTGAACTGTGAAACTATGATTATTGTTTTTGGAACAAGCCAGGATTCTAAGCCATATTTTGAAGTTGGTTTAATTCCTTGGCATGTTTTGAGGCTAGTAACCATAGTTTCCCAACAAATTATTGGGACAACTGTTGGGCGAAGGATAGAGAAAAGCAAATGTCATATTCTCATCTCAGTTTTCTTAAACCCAAGATATGAATGCCCAACCTCTCCAGGGTAAATATGTGAGTTAAAGGTAAAATGTCTGACCCTGGTTCAAGGCTGTGGTCAAGGAAAAGGGATAGGAGAATGACTGCAAGAAATAGCCAGTGCTCCTCGAGGCCAAATAGACTTGGATTGGAGAAGCTGTTTCAAGCTCACAAGGCCTGACACCATAACTTGTGCTTAGGGAGCCCCACAAAGTGGTTACCTGTGAGCAGTGTGACCCTGTCCAGGTGCCCTTTCCCAGCCCTCTGTGTCTTTTAAGCAGGACTAAATGGGATAGACTCTGGGCGGCTGTGCTGCCAGGACAGTCAGCAGCGTATCTCCGGGTGGTCACTTGTGCTTCCCTTTCCAATGGTGTGGAACGGTTCCTAGAATCCACCTGGCTTGGAATGTAGTTCTTTGGCATCATGGGCTCTTCTCTCTATCGGTGTCTTTCTAGTGTGCGGAAGCGCTTGCTCCCTGACATCCCTCATCCTGATGTGACTCTGTCTTCAAAGGTAGGAACCATCCTCAGCAAAATCCAGTAGCTCTACCATATTTCTCTTTATTGATGTAATGACAGGGATCCCTGACATCCCAGTGCTATTCTGTGGTAGGTGAGCATGTGCAACTTCTGTGCTGAGCTCCAGATTCTTCCAGGCTTCTCCACGGTATCATATGGTTTGGACCATGCTTATGTCCGAAGGAACGTATTAGTGAAGGACCTGGGAAGGTTCTTGAAGAAATTATTGGAAAGGGATGGTATTTCAGGATAGGACAAAACCTGATGAGCTACATTCGGTTTCATGTGCACATGTTGCAGTAGATCTTTCCATCCTCTCCTCCTCCTGTAATCACCAAGATCTGCTCCAGAGTGTTCTCCTATGCTTCCAAGAATCTTCTTGGGGCAGGTGAAAAGTTGCAGAAAGCAGGCAAAACTGTCCCATCAGCAGACATAATTGGATTTCACAAACTCTTCCTGTATAATCGTTTGTAATAAAAAACAATTCTTCAATTGTTTAGGGTTATGGCTTTACTTCCTCAATTTTGTTATAATTAAAAATTGGTGGCTGGAAGTGAGATTGGTAAGAGTGAAGCTCTGAACTGGATGTTCCCAAGGGTGGATGTGAAGATGAATGTTTTCTTTTTAAATTCCCACCCCGCCCCAATAACTACCAAAATCTATGCTGGATGATTGGGGAACCCTCCAGAGCCATGTGCCAGATCATGCTAGGGACAGCAAGGAGGAGAAGGGATTGCAAGGAGGAAGATTTCTACCCCATGCCGGTTTTTTAGGGGCACCCTTCACTGGATCTCAGTTCCATCCACCCATGGAAGGATTCAACCAAGGCCTTCTCCTTCCCCCATACATCACCCCAAAAGCCTCTTCTGAGACGCCGGCAAGCTGTGGTGCTGCATGCTAAGGGAACTGCTAAAATTGAACAGCGATGGAAGAGAAGGGCACCCACTTTAGCTATTGATATCTGTTCTCTTGTCATTATTTTTAAGGACCTCCTTCTTTCAATGCAATGCTGTGTAAGATAAAATACAGTGAAGTCAGGTCCTAATCCAGTTGCTGTCTGTGTGTTCTGCAGGGGAGTGGCAAACCGATGGATGTCAGCAGCTGTATTCCTGACAAAATGATTGTGATGGAGGTGCAGCACGGCTCTGTTGTCAAGCAGCCAGCGCCAGAAATGACCATCGTTGAAAACAGGCTGTATGAGCCAACTTTTTGCCCAGGTCAACACATGCCAAAGGCAATAAGCAGGCTGCACCAACCGCACCAGGCAGCGTACAAGCCGCTCGAGAGCTTCTTCGGCAGCCTGCAACAAGAAGCAGATCGGGACAACAGCAGTTGCCACTCTCCCCCCAAAATGACGCTTCCTGTGAGGCAGGAAAGTTCCACAGCTAGTTCTGTTGAGCTAAGGCAGTGCACAACCTACAAACCCCAGCAGTACCCAGAGCTGCTGGCAAACCTACCCATCTCTGATGAAAATGCAGCTTTGATTGCTGCGCAGTAGCCTGATCCTCTGCAGAGGAGGCGCTGCTAGGGAAATGATGCTGAGTATAAGTTCACAATGGGCGTTGTAAATAGTGAAGTCAGACAATACATGGCCTGGCCATGCCTTGCCTTGCTGCTTCCTTTTGTTCTTGGAAGGAGTGAACACATGTCACAGTGATAGAATCTGAACATTTACTAGGCAAAGGAAGAGGCACTGGCTGGGTTCAGACAACACTATAACCCACTCGCAAGGGCAAAATATGTGTTGCGTGTGCATTTTATACAGATTGTTGTATTGTCTGAGCCCAGTTGTACTGAGCGCATCATGAACAGCCCACCATTCATAATCAAACTACAGAGTGTGGTTTCCTTTCATAGGTTATTTATGCTTAACAAATTATGATTTGTTAGTATGGCTGAATTCAGCTGAATTCAGAAAACATGATAACCTATGTTTCAGCAACAACCCACAACTTAATGACAAACCACATTCAGCCCTCTGACAAGACTGACTGGGTTCATAGGATACAGCAACCCATGATGGGTAACTAGCCACAATGGGTTGCCATGTCATCTGAACCCAAACTGCTTCCCTGCAGGAGGATGTGTGCGCGTGCTCGGATGAGATTCCCAGGCGCGTACAGGAGATGGAGGGCTCCATCTCCGGTGGGAATGGTGGCTCAGACTCGGAGGAGGGGGAGCGGATAGCTGACCCAGCCGTGGCTCAGTTCTCACTCTGATATCGGAGGTGTCGAGACTCGCGAGGTCCCAGAGGCCCACACCCTCCCGGTGAGCCAGCCCGAGCCAGCTCTGGATCAAGCGCTTCAAGGACAACCACTGAGTGCCCTCCCACTCCTGACTGTGGGAAAGAAGCCAAAGGAAGCTGGGCAGGGGTTCTCAGGAGGAGAACTTGACACCCCAGGAGACATGGATGTGCAGTCCCATCGATGCACTCGCTGCCTTGACCAGTGGGGAACTCAGTGGGAAGAGCATTGGCCTGCCTGCTGCCATAGCACGCCCCCCTCCAGAGACTGGCCCTGAAGGATTCATAAGCAGAGCTTTGACTGAATAGGGTCAGAGCGGGAGGCCAACTTTCTATCTGGAGTGCATGTTTTGGAGTTTGTGAATACCTTGTAGCTGTATGGAATAAAGACTCTCTTAATAATTACTGAAGTGCTTGCCTCGTTTGGGAAGGCACACCTAGCTCACGACAGATGGCTTGTTTTGTGACAACAAGCCACACTGATGTTTGGCACACATCCGGTTGTTCTGTTACCTGTTTTCATGAGCTGTGGGGAGTGACTACCAAGCCACTTGATTTTGCCATCTCTAGTGTGTGTTTGGGTTTTTTTATGGAATGTTTATGTACCTTCTTTTTCTTCTTTTTTACTTGGAAATACACACAGTTTTTTTGTCAGATGATGGAGGGGAACTTGACCCATTACGCAACATACACTGATACAGGGATGACCACATTTCTAAACAGCACTTTGCTTCAGGTTCATGCTGCTGTTGTGTGAACACAACCTGATGTCATGGACTGAGTTCTTAACGCTATCTAATAGGGAGTCTGTGACTTGTATATTCTGGGCAGGAACTGCTGATAGCAAAAAACAGTACCTGCCACTCCCTTTGTGCATAATGCGTACGTGGCACCTCCTTCCCTTTGTAAAAAAGGAAAAAAGAGATTGTTAAGCCAAGTCCAGATGGTGGAGCTATTGCTTATTCACACAAAAGCTCTCATCAGTTGACTTGGCCACAGCGGTGGGAACCAACAATGTAAACCAGCAAGCTGGAGATGATGTCAAATGGAGCAGTCGATGCCGAGTGGGTCTTGGTAACGGACTGGAGCTTACTGATCTGGTGTGCATGAGGTGGCAGTCTGTTGTAGGAAATTCAGCCCAAAGAGCTCTGGCAATTGCCACCTGCCATCATGAATATATAGCTCACTGTTGTGGCGTTGTGCATGGGTTACTTAGCCCACAAATTACCCTTGACAGCCAATTTCATATCACACAACACACAGGGGTCCCATATTCATAATAGAAGCTACCATGCAATGCAGCACCTCAAGGGTTAATAACTAAGCCATAATACAAAGTCATGACATGTGAGCTGGCCAACTGTGTGTCTTGCCCCTTCCTGCTAGTAAGACAGGTAGGTATATTGAGGCTCTGTTGATAATTCTCATAGTGAGCTTGTGTGGGATTGGGCTCACCTCCTGTAATGCAACCTTCAAAGGTGGTTGTTTAAGATTCAGAATCAGAACCTGAAAGAAGAGGCAGGATTGGAATGCACAGCTGAAAGGCCAAGGCCAACCAACCTGCTTGATGGAGGTGGGCCTAGAACTCTCTTTGGAGCTGTATGGAAGGTCCATCCAATCTATGATGTCTTTCTCCACTCAAGAATGCATGAGAAACAAGGTAGATAGTCACCAAATCAGTCCGTGGAAAGATTGGACCAAATGTGAGGAGCTAGAATTGTGTGCCGCAATCACATATTCAAGCACACACACAAAGGATAAGGATTGTTCTTCGTCGTGGCCTCTGTGCATCACACACATGGGGTGCTCCGCCTGCGCAGTGCCTTTGGCCGGAAGATTGCAAGCTAACGGTTTTTGGCGGGAAAGCTCCGCTCCCCCTCCCCTGTAGCCTATAAATAGCTGAGCGTCCGCCATTTTGTTCAGCCTTTGCGACCACCGTTCACTGTGCCTCATGCTGCTTTTGCTCTTGCTCTGACCGTTGCTCGTCTAGCTTCTTCTTCTTGATTGTTCTCTCCCAGTTGTTATAGCCCCGGTATTTCTTATAGTTCTTGTAGTTCTCTATAGTACTACCTTCTCTTCAATCTTCTATCAAAAAAACAAAAATATATACTTACCCTCTGTACTATCTCCTTTTTTCTCTTTCTTGCGATGGCGCAGTAAGCGGCTTTCCGCAAATGCGCGGAGTGCGGGTCTAAAATGTCTCGGAATGACCCGCATGACCTATGCCTCCTCTGGTTGGGGGAGGGGCATAGGACTGATAAATGCTCTCACTGCCTGGCCTTCTCTAAGCAGGCCAGGAAAAACCGTGAGAATCGCCTGCAGAGGCTCTTGTGGGACCAGGCTCTCATGTAGTCTGACTCGCTTGCTGCTCGGAAGTCTGGCTCTGCTTCAGTGGCTCCACCCTCACACCCTTTGGACGAAGGCATGTCTGCTATGGTGGTTCCACCTGCTTCTCTCAAGAAAAAGCACGAGAAGCACAGGCATGCTGAACCCGACAAATCGGCGGGCCATACGAAGGCCAGGAAGGAGAAGGCTCCTAAACATCCAAACAAATCAAAGGATCCAGAGCGTCCTTGACACTGAGACTTGGATTCAATGACCCCCTCGGTACCGGCAGCACTTACCATACCGACTCCACCCAACCTGGTGCTTCAGGCGGCTATGATGGTTACCCCTCAAGGGTCCCCTCGCCGTGTGGCTGACCTTCCTGCTGGGCCACTTCCAACTCTACAACGAGGCTCAATTTCTGATGGAGAACTTCAGGATTCCCCCGCTAGGGCTAGGTTGCCCACACCTATGCCCACAGCCACTCTGGAGGCGGATGTAGAGATGTCCCCACCTAGGAGCCGGAGGAGTCGCTCCATGGAGCAGTGCTCTGAGGGATGGCATCGCTCATACTATCAGACTTGGGGCGATCTGCTCTCCGTCGGATGCTATCCCGCTCCTAGGGGTCGGTCTTCGCCACCTTCCCGCGACCGACCGCAGTCCATGGGCCTGAGGCGTGCATCCCCGATACCTCCTTGGGATGGAAGTAGCCGGTCCATCTCTCCGGCGGAGTCCTCATCATCGGTTCCCCTATATTATGGTGCTGACTCCGACGATTCGGAGGTCGATTCAACCTCCCCTGATGTTGCTGTGACCTCCCAGGGCCCTGTGTCACCGGATGAATCGCATGTCTCCTTTGCGGAGCTGATGTCCCAGCTTGTCCAGTCCCTCGACGCCATCCAGCGTCCGGGACCTACTATGGACAAGTTTTATGATGTCATCCGCGGGTAACAGTTCACATCGATCGTCCTGCCGCTGATCACCACCTTACGACAGGCAATGACGCAGCCCTGGGACTTGCCCTCTCACCCTCAACCCACGTCTTGGAGGTACGAATCAATGTACCAGGTTCAGGAGGAGGACATTCCCTTCCTCCTCCGCCACCCCAAGCCGAACTCGGTCATGGTGGAGTCCTCCCAGGGCAGAGAGGCAAGAGGTCACACTGCACCAAGGTATAAGGAAGGACAAAAGATCGACTCCCTGGCCAGGCGAGTCTACGCTGCCTTAGGCCTGGGGCTGCGTATCTCCAACTACGAGGTGACGTTGGCGAGGTATCAATATTTCATAATGCAACGCCTCCACACTGTCGCCTCGACCCTCCCGGACCACCAGGGTGACCTGCCCAAGGTCCTCATCAAGGAGGCAATGCAGGTTGCTGTCCAGCAGTTGTCCACAGCCAGGCACCATGTGGACACAGACTCGAGGGCCTTGGTCGGTGCTGTTTGACTCCGGAGACACACCTGGCTAAGAAATTGTAACTTCCTGGAGGAGACTAAATGTCGGATTGAGGAAATGCCCTTCGACGGGTCCGGGCTTTTCCACTCGTGCACCGACCACAAGTTAAAGAAACTACATGAATCCCGCATGACAGCATGCAGGATGGAGCTACAGACCCAGACCAGGCGTAAGTGGTCATGGACTCGTCCATCTTATAGGCAGTCCTACCAGCCTAGACAGCAGCCCCAGCATCAGCAGCAGCAACAGCAGGGCCGCTGTCCACAGCCTCAGCAACGCTATCAGCAGGGCTGTTGCAATTTCGACGATCGGAGACAGCATTGACGGGACTGGCGAACCATTCCTCTGATCCCTTCCATACACATCCCCCTCTCATCTGGGGACCGGCTGTGAAGCCAGCTTCCCATTTGGGAGTCCATCACATCTGATCGGTGTATGATGGTATTGTCCATCGTACAGCACGGCTATCGGATAGAATTCGACATCATTCCTCCATTGAGTCTGATCCGGTTTACATCATGCTCGCTGGCACTGCTCAATGAAATACAACAACTTCTTCGTAAAGGAGGGATTCGTCAAGTAACCCCACCTGACGGACTTCACGGATTCTACTCCAGATATTTTACGGTCCTGAAGCGGGATGGTGGTCTACGTCTGATTTTGGACTTATGTAATCTGAATCGATTTATTGTGACAAAAAAGTTTCGAATGACCACCCTTCAAAATATTTTGCCGCTGCTAAGGAAGGAGGATTGGTTCGCCTCATTGGACTTGAAAGACGCCTTTCCACATTTCAATCCACCCGAGTTATAGGCGTTTCCTTCATTTTGCTGTTGTACCCCATTTCTACGAATTTACAGTTTTACCTTTTGGACTGGCCACTGCTCCGAGAGTGTTCACCAAATGTATGGCCCCTGTCTGCGCTTTCCTGCACCTCCAAGGCATACAAATTTACCCTTATCTTGATGATTGGCTGCTAGTGTCCCAGTCTAGGGAAGGACTCCTCGCATCCATCCGTACAACCTGTGCCTTGTTAGATGATCTGGGCCTATGCATTAATACCGAGAAATCTCTTCTTCCAGCGCAGACACTTACCTTCATTGGAGCCCGCCTGGATTCGACGTTGGGAAAAGCCTTCCTTCCTCGGGACAGACAACAGACTCTTGCTTGCCACATCCATCGAATGCAACGAGATGGGACGGTCCTGGCAAAGTCCATCCAGAGGATCTTGGGACATATGGCTTCCTCGGTTGCTGTGGTGCCACATGCCAGGCTCCATCCATCCATTCAACAAGATGTTCCACCCACAGAGAGACCCACCATCGAAATTGATTCGAATCCCATCCTCGGTGCTCCATTCTCTACTCTGATGGTCAGTCCCAGTCAATCTGACAGTCAATATGTCCTTCGATAACCCTCAGTATCGATGCATCTCTTCTGGGATGGGGAGCAATATGCTCCGGCCTATACACCCAAGGCACGTGGAATTATCTAGAATCCACGAATCATATCAACTTCCTGGAGCTGCTGGCAGTATTCAAGGCCCTATGTTCTTTCGAGGATGTTCTCCAACATTGGGTCGTTCAGATAACTTCAGACAACATAGCCACCATCTTCTATCTGAA